TATATATATATATATAATTTATTACCATAACAACATTTGTTATATTATTACGGAATTATAAAACATATAACTTGTATTATTTATAATACATGTTTTATACATCTTATCGCTTATGTTTTAATAACTAAAACTTATTGATTAAGTTTGCACAGCAAATCCAATTGTGGTCAAATTATATTCAGTTTTGATGCTATGTTTAATTTTATTTTTTTTATGAAGACTTCCAATGCAATCTAAATCAATCCCACCCCATGATTCTTCGATTCACGAATCATCATGTACAAAAGTGGCTTATTTATCCATATTTTCTTGTACTAAAAAATCGTCGCACAAACTCCTTAATCCATGTGCTGCTCATTAAAACTAAATTAGTCTGAGCATAATGATATTATTAAGTAAATATATCACCCATAATAATATGGAACAAAATATCATATTTCATGATAAAAATCGATTGTGACGCACATAAATGCATTGAATCAACAGTCCACAAATATCACCTGAGTGGTGAATTTTGTAAATAACAATGTTTGGGGTGCTGTATATGTAAATAACCCTGGTCAACAAGCCCTTCATCCTCATCAAGCCACCAGCATTTTGCAGCATGGAAAGATAAATCAGGAACAGCTAAACGTCTTCTAAATTGTTAAAAATTAACATCAAACTGAAATAGTGAAGTTGATTACATCTCTAGCTATAATTTGAACCCAACTGCTACAAAGTTTCTGCACCAAAGGGTCTTTATGTTCTAAATATTACAGAAAAATCAAATAACTGAAAATGTATGCTCTCAGAAACCAGAACTAATCATCCGGACATTGCCTCTTTAATTTCTCATTATACAAAAATTCTGTAACATTCCAAACAATGAATTCCATGAAGAATAAATATCATAGCAGACGCACTACTTTGGGCCTGAACAAATAAGTCATCAAAACTGCTCTTCATGACGTACTTTTGAGTTAGTCTGCATCAATATTAATCATCATTTTCCTCTGCTAAAACTACGGAGGGATCTCTGAGTTAGCACAGTTCATGTATAAATTTTCCATATGCCGAGTCCATAACCTAAGCGAATCAATATGAGCTCAAACAGCATGTGCGCTATGCTGGTCAGCCGCACCTTTGATCCAGGTATTTCACTCCAATTTACTGACACTTCGATCATCGGAATATTTAGATGCTTGCATAAATAGACAATTTCGACGTCGAAGCACCACCTGAGTCATGAGGGGGACTATTTAGCTCGTCTTTAATTGATTAATGTCAAGTAAATCTCCATAAAATAAATATGAGAAAAGTGTCAAAATATTATCCTGATTCTTTGTAAGGGGTCATTTTAATCCCAAAATTCATAAAAGTGTGAATTTAGGCACGACTCTTTTAATATGGAAGACTATTTTAACTCCCATTAAAACAGTCTGTGGGACTAATTTAACACTTCTATAAATTTTGGGTCTAAAATGACGTAATGTAAATAGTTAGGGAATTATTTTGATACTTAAATAAATATAGCTGATTCTGCCACATATAGGCCCTAACAGATTTATGCAGAAAGTAAAAATTTTTTGAAGAAAAATATAACTGAATTAACCTTATGAAACAAGTATAGAAAAAAAATTTACAAGCATTTATTTATTTTTTTATTTTGCATCAAGTTTTGGGTCAAACAAACAGAAGACATCAAGTCAATTTGCACTAAAAGCATACACTAGGTTATCAATGTGATTGATACGCTTGATCTGCACCATCAAAGAAAGATAGTTTAATAGTCTTGATGTTTAAAATTCTGCTACTAATTGATGGTTTTGGGGTAAGAATAATTCAGGGAATAGATTAACTGTTTAATGTACAACACATTCCAAAATTCACAAATCCAAATGTTATACTATACCAATGCTAGGATGTTCCTCAAAAGTGATATGCAAATCTAATATGATTAGTGAGAAATGGACAAAATATTAGCCCAGGCATAATCTAACCCTATTATGAGAGAGTAATCAAGAACTTGCAAAAAAATGTCACCAATTGATGGATCATGTTGAGAAAATAAGGGCGAAGAAAAACTAGAATGACACAAATCCAGAAGAACACAGAGAATTAACGAGCTTCGGCAAAGATGCCTACGTCCTTGGGAGCAGAACGGTGAGTTCCTTTCGATATTCAGAAAAGAGGTTACAGAATTTAGGGATACATTTTGGGGTTACTAACATGTCTATTTATAACCCCAGGAGTAAACCTAGGCACAATATGTAATTACAACATTACCCATGTACCATACCGCGAGGCTTTACCCCCGCACCCTAACCCACGTAACTTCCCAATTTGGACAGATTCTTCTGCTCCGCTCCGCTCCGCTTCGATCTAGCGTCTGTCCCTATATGGTATATGAGTCATACCATAACAAATCTCCACCTTGGCGAATATCCAGCCCCTTAAGAGAAAAATACCTGAGAGTTACACCTGCACCACTGTGGGTTGGGCCACCATGCTTCTCTAGCAACTGCAAACATTCAACAAGTCCAAGCAATGCAAGAACTTATTGATACTAACTGGCTTGGTCAACATATCAGCTGCATTCTCATCAGTATGAACTTTCTGCAATAGTATCTCCCCAAAAGCAATCAACTCTCTGATCTTGTGATACCTGACATCAATCTGTTTGGTTCTCGCATGGTACACCTAGTTCTTAGCCAGATAAATAGCACTCTGACTGTCACAATGCAACTGAACTCCACCTTGCTCAACGCCCAGTTCCTTTAATAGCCCAGCAAGCCATAAGGCTTCTTTAGCAGCTTCAGCTACTGTCATATACTCTGCTTCAGTTGTAGATAATGTCACAATAGACTGAATTGTTGATTTCCAACATATAGGCCCTCCACCAAGAGTAAACACATACCCAGTTGTAGACCTTCTGCCATCCAAATCACCTGCATAGTCTGAATCAACATACCCCACAACTGAAGGATCATTCTTCTGACTGCCAAAAATAATTCCATGTCCTACAGTACCCTTCAGATACTTGAAAATCCACTTGACTGCTTCTCAACGTCGTCTTCCAGGTTTAGCCATGTATTTGCAGACTTGACTAACAGCATGAGCCAAATCAGGACGAGTACATACCATAGCATACATCAAGCAGCCAACTGCACTGGCATATGGAACCTTTGTCATGTCTTCAATTTTTGTATCAGTCTTAGGACACTGTTCTGAAGAAAGCTTAAAATAATTTATCAATTTTTGTATCACCTGCATAGTTTGAATCAACATACCCCACAACTGAAGGATCATTCTTCTGACTGCCAAAAATAATTCCATGTCCTACAGTACCCTTCAGATACTTGAAAATCCACTTGACTGCTTCTCAATGTCGTCTTCCAGGTTTAGCCATGTATTTGCAGACTTGACTAACAGCATGAGCCAAATCAGGACGAGTACATACCATAGCATACATCAAGCAACCAACTGCACTGGCATATGGAACCTTAGCCATGTCTTCCACCCGTATCTGTCTTAGGACACTGTTCTGAAGAAAGCTTAAAATGATTTGCCAAAGGAGTGCTCACAGGCTTTGCATTG